ATCCCTTCACCTTTTTACCCAGCCCCGAAACCAAGACAGTTCTTTCTCTTCTTTTTCTTTTTTTTAAAATCAGAAATAGTGAAATAAGTCTTGAAAAAGAAAGAATTACTCTGTGTTCTGGGCTTGAGTTATTAGTATTAGAATTAAGGAAAAGAATTTTTCATACAGAGAAGTCTATTTATGTTTAAGGTTGGGAAAACATCAGAATAATTATGAGATATATTTTAGAACTAGCAAGAAAGAACCAGCTTTGACCATGGTAAGGGGTGAGGAAGTATTGATACTGTAGCACTCAAAGTTTTCTAAGGATGCCAGGGAAGAAGTTACATGAATGTAGAGGGAAGATATGACATGGGAGTCTTGCCTACCAGCTTCCCCACTCTCATAGTGGGAGACCCCGAGGGAGCTTCAGTCTGTGGGTGAGCCTTAGAGTTTAAGTGGAGAAATGTCTGGGTTTAGTCAAATCTTAGGAATGAAGGATGGGTAGGGTGTTTGTGACAGTGTTAATGGCAGCTCTGGTTTAGTAGTAAGAGCAGCATTGAAATTTACCCCTCAAAGGTAGGCATGAGGTTTCACATGGGTCTAGGTAAAATAGTAAAACAAGTAATGGGAAGAAACCAGCGGTTTTATTTTTGTTTTTATTTTAAAGTTAATTAATTATATTTTTAATCCTCACCTGAGAATATGTTTTTATTGATTTTAGAGAGAGAAGAAGAGAGAGGAGAGAGAAAAAAACATTGATGTCAGAGAAACATCCATCAGTTGCCCATCCCGTATGCGCCCCAGCCGGGAATTGAACCCGAGACCATTTGTGCATGGGATGGTGCTTCAACCAACTGAGCCACACCGACCAGGGCTATTTTTGTTTTTTAAGAAATTACCATACTTCCTAGTTTATTGTTTTCATGCTGCTTTAATATGTTTTGAAAATCTAGCAAACCAGTCTTTTCAAATATCACCCAGGTGTAGATGCTTGCTTTGATTAATTACATTTCATTTTACATAGGTGAAAAGTAACACTTTTCTTTTAAAGAGAACTTTATTTTCTTTTAAAGATAGTTCTCAAGAAAAGAGTAGGTAACTTATGGATGAATTAGTGTCTTTTTCGTTGTGCTTCTTCAGACTTTTTGTAACTCACTTTTTCTAGCTGTCTTATTATTATACCCATCACTTAAAGTTTTTGTATTTACTGACATCTTTTCTTTACACCTTAGACTGGACCATATACTTTAATGTGTAGTTGATTATGTTATATATAGAGGAGATTACTTTATTCTATTTATCAGCGATAGCCTGTTGGAGCATTCTAAAAATGTAACTTGCTATATGCCTATTAACATTCATAATGCTTTGATCCATTGATATATCTAGATTTGGGTCTGCTTTCACAATGTTAACAGTGTGCCTTGTATTTGAAAATGCAAGTACTACTTTCTATATATGTCAAAATAACTAATAGGCTCAGATACATTGTATTAATCTTGTTCACTGTATAAAGGCTCATCCTTGGTTTGTGAATAATTGGAATTTCAGAACTTATTTGTGCATTTACCTTATGCTCCACTTGATACTTTTTCTAAAAAGAGTTCCTGTTTCCCCTGTTTCTTATTGCCTCGTGCTGTATTTTCATGGTTTCTTTGCAATCTGTAAGCTGACAGAAGTGTTGGAACTACTTTAGTGCTACTGCAAAATAGGACAGAGCAGTTCAACAGATGCTTATAGATGGTCTGCCATCATTTCTCCTTGTCTCATATTTAGCCCAAGTTTGTCACTTTTAGTTCCCATCACTTCAGATGGTAATAACATGTTTGAATGTTCCAAATAATGATACCAAAAGAAGCTTTAAAAAAATGATCACTAGTATTCTATAACCTGATGGAATTATTGGCTGAATAATCATTTACATCATGTTTTTGTGCCAGGGTTCTCCTTGATTTGCGATTCTCATACTGCCTACATTCCAGGGATTTATGAAAGCTTTCAGTTCCTTATTTTATTAGTCTGAAATCCCTGGTTTATGTTGCATTTTCCTCATGAATCTCACACACTGTATCTTCCAACTTTACACAATAAATCTGTAAGATGTTTATAATCTTTTGCATCTTTTAAAGTGTATTTTATTTATTTAATATTAATGTTTTATTTAAATTCTTTGTTGTTTAAAGTATTATTACATATGTCTCCTTTTCCCCCATTGACCTCTCACCAGCCGTTCCCACCTCCCAGCACATGCCCTCACCCCCTTACTGTCTGTGTCCATTGGTTATGCTTATATGCATACATATAAGTCCTTTGATTGATCTCTTACCCCCCCTTTCCTCTGAGGTTGGACAGTCTGTTCGATGCTTCTATGTCTTTGGATCTGTTTTTGTTCAGCAGTTTATGTTGTTCAATATATTCCACAATGAGTGAGATCATGTGATATTTATCATTCTCTGACTGGCTTATTTTGCTTAGCATAATGCTCTCCAGGTCCATCCATGCTGTTGCAAATGGTAAGAGTTCCTTCTTTTTTATAGCGGCGTAGCATTCCATTGTGTAGATGTACCACAGTTTTTTAATCCACGCATCTGCTGATGGGCACTTAGGCTTTAAAGTGTATTTTTAAAAATGTAGTCATTAGCACATTTTACTTCCTGGATTATTATCAAGAATTTTTTTTAAAGCTTATGAACAACATAAATTTATTTCTCATGTTCTGGAGGCTGGAAGTTTTAGATCAGGATGCCTGCATGATAGGGCGAGGGGCCTCTTTCAGATGAATCTTCTGATGTCCTCACATGGTGCAAGGGTTCAGTGTTTTTTAAAATATGTAATCTTTAAAATTTTTAAATATTTTTATTGATTTCAGAGAGGAAGGGAAAGAAGGGGACAGGGTGGGGGGAGAGAGAGAGAGAGAGAGAGAAAGAGAGAAAGAGAAAGAGAGAGCGAAACAGAAACATCAATGATGAGAGAGAATCACTGATTGGCTCCTTTCTGCATGCTCCATATTGGGGATTGAGTCCGCAACCCAGGCATGTGCTGAGAATCAAACTGATCTCCTGGTTCCTAGGTTGACATGCAACCACTGAGCCACGCTGACTGGGCAAAGATCAAGCATTTTTAATATTTCACCTCATAGCTTCTTGAGTTGAAAGTTTTTTAGTTTTAAGATTCTTCTGTTTTCATTTCAAAGATAGATTGAAAATGTGGCAGTGGATGACTGAACACCATCAATTCCTTATGAGAATTGACACTACCATTAGTGACCTTAGGACCCTGTGTACATTAAAACCTCATATAAGGGACTAATTCAGGTGAGGGGTGTCTGTTAAAGCTGAAAGTCCATTCTGTATAATAAAAGGCTATTATGCAAATTGTACCTTCAACTGGGAGTTCGACCAGGGGGCGGGGCCGGCCAGCCAACAGCCTGCAACCCCTCCCCTGGCCAGCCCCACCCTGATCACACCCCCAATCGGGGTTGGGGCCGGCCAACCTCCCGCAGCCCCTCCCCCCAGCCGGCCCGGATCAATCAGCCCCGATTGGGGCTTGCTGGCCAGACCCCACCCTTGCACAAATTCGTGCGCCAGGCCTCTAGTTATATAATAAAGTATGTTTTCCAAATGGGTATATTAAAAATTTGACAAATTAGTTAATTTACCTGTTTTTACTTATGTGTCATTAAAATTAAGTATGTGTGAAAAAGTTTAATTTCACAGAAAAGTTTCCTGCATGTATTACAGTAATTTCAAATATATACTGACTAGGTCTGATAAGTGAGTCTACTCACCAGTCACTGTGAGTAAACACATGCACATGGCTAGGGTGTGGCTTAGCGTAGGCCAGAACATCATCCAGCACAAGCTAAAATTGCAGTAGGAAGTCACACCACTGCCACTCGAGATAACAGAACCAGTTACTACTTGAGAGTGGTGGGTGTGATCATCCACTACACATTGTTTATGAGCGGTGACTCTTGGATTTAATATATAGACTATAGTAGATATGTAATATTTATATCGGTAAAATTACTACAGTGCTTTTACTATAACATATGGCCTATCTGCTAAAGTTTGTTAAAAATAACAGTGACTTAATAACAAAAAAATAACCTGTTAATTATAAGCAAATCTTGGTTAAAAGCATTTTAAAATTAATAGGATGTTAATTTTCATCTATGACTTATGGACTGGAAATTTTGTCTGTTAAATCCAGAGTCCATTAAATCTAGGTTGACAAAATTGAGGGTTTACTGTATTCTTTTTTAGGACAAACAGCTCTTCATATCTGTGAAAACTGAGGTCTGAGGATAGATAATATTGTTGATATCTTAATTTTCTTGTAGTAGTTCTATATTTATTGTGTAGTTAACATCATGCCTTGCACATAGCAGGCAGCCTAAAACCATATGCAGTTCCATAAACATATTTGGTAATGGTTTATTGGAGAAGCCAGGAAAATACTGGTTAAAAGTATTGTGCTTAAAGGTAATTGGATTTTCATTATTTGTCTTACCTTTCTTTTGATGTGATTCCTTTAGAATTTTGTTGCTTTCCTGGTATTTTGTAAATTGAGAGACAGCCCATTGTGAAGTCAAAATACTCCTTTTATCGCTGACTATTTTGTTGATTTTTTTTTTTTGGATTTAACCTTTTTAGTGTGCTTTTAACTTTAACATCACTTTTCTTAAATGTGGGAATGAAATTGATGTTTCTGTTGACTTCCACTTTATTCTGGTAGGTCTTATAATCATCTTTTCCCAAGACTTCTTTATTATTTTTTTCCAGATAATTGTTTGTAAAATCTTAGTTTATATACTCACTCTTGATTCTTATTTTTCAGTTACCTATAAATGAATTCTTCAATGAGCTATTTACTTGAATACACTCATAGATTATCCAGGGAGCCATATTTATGTAGGGTTAGCAAAGGATTAAATACGCAGTGTTGTTTTGGTTGTGTTTTTTTGTGTGCGTCATAATGGACTTTATTTCTAAAATTGGCTTTCTTTTATTTAACAGATAAGTGTAAAGCAGGAAATTACTTTTACTGATGTATCTGAGCAACTGATGAGAGACAAAAAACAAATCAGAGAGCCAGTAGACTTACAGAAAAAGAAGAAACGGAAGCAGCGTTCTCCTGCAAAAGTAAGAATATATTAAGGTGGTGGTCCCTAACCTATTAATCCCAAACTGTTGGTTAATCATAGGGGCAGAAATATGACTGGTCTATAAGGCAGCTATACAAAGTATCATGTGGGTTAGTAAAGTTGGAATGTAGCATCAGCTTCACTAGGAGGAAGGGGTGCATGCCTGCATGGAGGTGGTGGGCCATTGCTTTAAATTTTTTCACTTTGCTTTCACTATGTCTTTTTTCTAAAAGCAAACTTCTTCCCCTTTGTCTCTCTCTTTAAAATCTGGCAGATGGTATGCAGTGGCCTGCTTTTCATTTATATTACTTTTACTTATTTTAATATTACAATTTTAGGAAAATTTAGTATCGATTTTTCATCAGAAAAAAGTTGTAAAATACCAGTATTAGAATAGAATGTAAGCCTAGCCAGTGTGGCTCAGTGGTTGAGCATTGACCTATAAACCAGGAGGTCACAGTTCGATTCCCAGTCAGGGCACAGGCACATGCCTGAGTTTTGGGCTCAATCCGAGTAGGGGGCCTGCAGGAGGCAGCCAATGAATGATTCTCTCTCATCATTGATGTTTCTCTCTCCCTCCCCCTCTTCTTTCCTCTCTGAAACCAATAAAAAGTATGTATATGAATAGAATGTAAGCTTCATAAGGACAGGGACTTCATTTTCTTCACAGGTATATCCCAAGAGCCTGGAATAGTAGGCACAATAAGATACTCAATAAATACTTTTTGGGTATACTTTCCTCATATAGTGAAGAAGGCTTTTTTAAAAAGATCATATTATAACATGACCTCTTTATTTTATTTTATTTTTATTTATTTATTTATTTATTTATTTATTTTTATTTTATTGATTTTTACAGAGAGAAAGGGACAGAGATAGAGAGTCAGAAACATCGATGAGAGAGAAACATTGATCAGTTGCCTCCCGCACACTCCCCACTGGGCATGTGCCCACAACCAAGGAACATGCCCCTGACAGGAATCGAACCCAGGACCCTTGAGTCCGCAGGCCAACGCTCTATCCACTGAGCCAAACGGGTCAGGGTGACCTCTTTATTTTTTGATGGCTAATTGTTTTTGCATATGTGCTTTAAATTATAATTATCATTTATATATTTGTACTAGAGGCCCGGTGCACGAAATTCATGCGGGGGGGGGGGGGGGCTTTCCCTCAGCCCAGCTTGCACCCACTCCAATTGGACACCCCTTTCATAATCTGGGACTGCTGGCCCCTAACCACTCACCTGCTTGCCTGCCTGATTGCCCCTAACCCCTCTGCCTGCCTGCCTGCCTGATCGCCCCTAACCTCTCTGCCTGCCTGCCTGCCTGCCTGATCGCCCCTAACTGCCTCTGCCTGCCTGATTGCCCCTAACTGCCTCTGCCTGCCTGCCTGATCACCCCTAACTGCCCTCCCCTGCTGGCCTGATCTCACCCCTAACTGCCCTCCCCTGCTGGCCTGATCTCGCCCCCAACTGCCCTCCCCTGCCATCCTGATCTCGCCCCCACTGCCCTCCCCTGCCAGCCTGGTTGCCCCCAACTACCCTCCCCTGCCAGCCTGATCTTGCCCCTAACTGTTCTTCCCTGCCGGCCTGATCGCCCCTAACTGCCTCTGCCTGCCTGTTCGCCCCTAACTGCCCTCCCCTGCAAGCCTGATCTCGCCCCTAACTGCCCTTCCCTGTTGGCCTGATCACCCCTAACTGCCCTCTCCTGCCAACCTGATCTCCCAACTGCCCTCCCCTGCAGGCCTGATCTTGCCCCCAACTTCCCTCCTCTGCTGGCCAATTTGGTTCTGATTAGTCAATTTCTATGCCAGTCAGTGTCAAAAGCTCCGCCTCCTAAGCAGCCATTGGCTCCTTACATTCACCCAGATTTGGTTCTGATTGGTCAGTTTCTATGCCAGCCATCATCTCTGGGCCTATCAACGGGGCCTGATCAGAAAGGTGGGTCTGATCAGCAGCCCTGGTGGAGGCCTGAGAAATGGAGGCCCAGCTGTTGGCCTGGCCAGGAGAGAAAAATAGGCAAGTTCTGATCAACGGCTGCCACAGAGGCTATGGATCAGACCCTGCCTCTCTCTCTGCAGGCCTCTCTCCAGGCCTGATCCACAGCCCCCTAGGCAGTCAGTGCTGGGTGGGGGCACCCACAGTGGCCCCAGTCAGTGCTGGGTCGCTATGGCAACCCAGCACTGACTTCCGGTCTAGTGGAGCCTTCAGTCATTACAACCCTGGCTCTTTATTATATAGATACTTTTGGACTCCCAGTGGTATGCTGGGACCAGTTGGTACTGGCTTGCCAGAGCTAATTGCTAACTTTTCAGGAATTTTGCAAGCCAGGGCTAAAACCATTGGTAGATTAAAATTAGCCACAGTGAGAATAATTACACCATGGAAATCATTAAACCCTTCCCAGCCCCATGACTTCTTAACCTGTTGTTAAACATTTACCTACATACCACTGCTTTTTGGATACATGAATGTGCCTGTTAGAGAAAAGTTTGAAAAATACAGAGATTAAAATAACCCATAGTCATGTTTCCTAGAGATTAACTACCTTAGTTTTCTGCCATATTCCCTTTCTATTTTCAAATTTGTAGATATGTAGAATTTCCAGATTTTTAACACTTGAAGTGTGTAAGCTATTTTTACATTTAAAGTTATTAATGGTTTTATAAGGATATTATTAGCTACATAATTTTATTTTGTCATATGGTAATGCTCACAGCCTATGGTTTGCATCCCATGTATGATTGGGGCAGCCGGTACACCTAATTGTGCCTTCTACTCCCCACAGTTGGCTGGTGAGGCTCTATGGGGCCTTTGGTGGTGATGTTGGCTCCTTTGACCTACATTTGGACACCACACCCTAGCCTAAAGGCCCAGGCACTAACCCCCTGCTACTGTCCTGGCCAGACCTTGGCTTTAGCATCAGCTGCCCCATGCGTCTTGCCCAGATCTTGAAGACTTCCACACTGTGTAGACTCTTACAGGCAACAGATGGCCCCTTTGGCAGTTGCCTGGGTCATAGCAGCCCCAAACCTTTCCTCGGGATATGCCTGCAGGATGTATGTCGTACCCATGGCCAGCACTTGTGCCTCTGTGATGCCCTCACAGCCTATACGGCAGCCTGCCAGGAGACTGGGATCCCCATGGTACCCTGGAGCAGCCCACACTTTACCATGAGTGCTCTTGCTGGGTCTGAGATACATCCAAGCAGGTTGTGGCCTGACAGGAAGAGCCTTGTCTCCTGATGGGGGATCAGAAAAGGCCTAACATATGAATGGATTTGGCTGAGGAGAGTGTATGGGAAGAAAATCCAAGGGAAAGGGAACTGTGATTGCAAAGATCTGGAGGTTGGAAAATATCAGTGGGAAACTACCCTGACTTGGGCAGGAGGTAATCGGATTATGTGAACCCTGAGAAGAAGAAAAAGGGCACCTACTAAGAAGGGCTCCTGGTGGCTAATTGAGCTCAAAGAAAAAAAGCAGCCTTTTTTGCACAAGGGCCTCTTACACAGAGTGCACTTCACGGAGAAGCCTCTGCATATTAAACTGCCTGCCTGCCTACACTGTCTACATAATATTCTTTTGATGTATCACATGATAGTCAATGATCGCTTTGTTGTTGGAAAGTTGTATTCTCTTTATCTTCATTTTAAATCATGCTGGACTTCAAATGTTTGTATATAGATATTTGTGCACTCTTGAATCATAGGGCATGAACTTAAAAAATTTTTTTTAATATATTTATTGATTTCAGAGAGGAAGGGAGAGGGAGAAAGAGAAACAATGATGAGAGTGAATCATTGATTGGCTGCCTCCTGCATGCCCCACACTTGGGGATCGAGCCTGAAACCTGGACATGTGCCCTGACTGGGAATCTAACCATGACCTCCTGGTTTGTAGGTTGATGCTCAACGGCTGAGCCACATTGTCTAGGCATAAAAAGGTTTCTTGATAATGTTACTCCTTCCAGAAATGTACCAGTTGCTACCTGCAGTGTGGCCTGAGGTGTGTCTGTCACCAGCCTTGAGTATGAGACTTTTGCTTTTTTTTGTAGTTTAAGATGGGCATCTCAGTATAGTTTAAATTTTAATTTCTTCAGTTACCGGTCATACTAAATTTGTTGGGTGGTGTGTTTTTTTTTTTTTTTCATAATCATTGGCATTTTATATTTCATGTTTTCTGAAATCTCGCCCTCCTCTTTTCTTGGGGTTAATGTTTTTCTGAGCAATTTATATGATACTTTTTGTTTTTTACGTTAACGAATAAATCAGGTTCTCCATTATAGAACAATACCAGGTTTGGAGGGAAAAACAAATTTCTAAAATGATTGTGATAGTGATTATGCTACTTTGGGTTCACTGCTCATCTATGAGGAATTTATTTCAAGTCTAAAATCACCATAATATATGTAAATGCTACATTTTCTTTGGTATTTTATTACCATGTTTTTCTGGTACTATTCTTGAGTATTATGTGTTCTGAAATTCTGACTAAAACACAGACTATTATAGTAGAGTGTATTTGGTAGTTTGTTCTAGGTGTTTCTAAGTATAGATCAGATTTTTAGAGAGTTTAAGCTATTTTGCTTTTTATTTGAGATAAATTCGTTTATAATGTATTATTTTAATATCTAAAGGTTATTATTTTAGTATTCTTATAATCTCTGCAGTTGCTAGATGAAAGATTTGGCCTAGTCTAAGTATATTTTATATAAGAAGGTATTTGGGGCCAGTCTTTTCAGGGAATTCTTAGGAAGGTGAAATGACCAGAAATAATGTATAACAGACAAGGGTGTGAGAATAACAAAATCAATTATTTTAAAATTGTTTTGACATGTTACATATAGTGGGACAGAAGGTGGTTGTGGACTGTTTTTAACACAGGTCTGCAGTCTCCAGATAAATGGTTTTTGCATCTGGAGTTTTGGGACTTTGAAGGCATAGCCAATGAGTTATTTTATATTTTCTCGGGCATGTGTTTAAAATTCGTACTTCTGATTTT